AGCATGCTTAGTGTGAGGGATTGCTGAAGAGTCAATGAGTCGATGCAATCAACTGGCTATAGATTCTACACCACCTGGAAAGAACTTCAGCATAAAAATAGCACAAAAAACAAGGACAGATATTATGATTATTATTTCTCATTTAAAAACAAACCAAAAGGAAAACATGGGAGTCTTGATTCTCCCCAGACTTTCACTATAGAATAGAGGTTAAAGGTTGAATCTATTAGGAACTATAACTCTGATCTGAGACTCCTCCTCCTGAACAACCTTGCCTCATGGCAACAATTTAATAAAGTTTTAAACTACTAATAATATCTGCTCTGAGTTTCTCTCATCTGTGGAACGTCATTAGATCTATAGATCAGTGGCGTCCAGATTCAGTCCTAATGGCTGCTATCCGCCATGATGGATGAAAAACAGCAGAGGATTAAAAAGCTGAGCTGAAGCAAAAGGAACAAGGAACTAACAGCTTCCTGGAAGAGGAGGAAAGTTAGAAGTACTCAAAAAAGTACTTAATTACAGTAATCAAGTAAATGTACTTTGTGACTTTCCTGACCTGCAACCTACAGACCCTGATCAGTGCAGGGCCACATATGACATCTACATTCCACTATCTATAGTTATATTAGGTGGCCTTTTTTCAGTAAAGACCAGATTTATTCAGCAGATTTATATTTTATGGACTGTGTGATATTAATATGGTTAAAACCCTGAGTCAGTATTCTGACTCCATTCTGGTCAAAAATCTGTGAAAGAAGCTAAAAATGAGGATGATGGTACAGAGACCCCATAACCTCAAATAGCTGGAGCTCATCAGGACTAATGAAATATCAAAATACCAGTGGAACAATACATTCAATTCAGTTTATTTTATGTTTAATCTATTCTGAAGGCCCTTTATGGAGACAATGCAGACAGGTTTTTTTCTTTGATCTGTTGTGACTCTTGAAGGAGGCGGTCGCATTTTCCTGCTGCTCCTGCACCTCCCTGTTCTGTTACTGCTTGGCTGTTTCTTGTCTTTTCTTAACTCTCTCCTCATATCATCAGACAGTGGATCTAGCCAGCAGGTCTCTCAATGCAATTGATCAAATTTATTCAACTGGCAGACAGGGAAAAGGGGAGGAGGATGGTGTGTTCACAACTTTTCATTTTCTCCCACACTGTTTACATTTGATCACTGCTGCACTTTATGGATGGAAATGTTCATTTACTGTCTGGAAAGCTTTAATAAACAACATTTTGTACACAGAGTTTATACAAACGACAGTAATAGTTTATAAGTCTACTCCAGTAGAAGTATAAATCCTGCTCTTTGAAAACACTTTTATAGAAATTAGAGAATCAACTTAAGTTTTTTACTCCATTAAAAGTGTAAAAGTACCATTTTAAAAATACAATGCAGTAAAAACTGTTAAGGTCAGAAGTTTTACTACTCTACCTTATTAAAGGAAAATTTTTTTCTACAATTCTGGATGATAACTTCCTTAGATTTATTTTTCTTAGTTTTATAAATAATGGTAACAGTGTCTTATTCAACTTTAAATCATGTAGAAAAACTATTTATTTTGATATGTGGTGAACAACAAGTTGGGGCAGCACCAAGTCCAACCTCAAAGGAATTAATTGTTTGGATGAAACTAATTATTTTGATGTTTTTTATTTTTTTCAAATAACAACAGGCCATAACGAAAATGAGATTAAATGAAACTAATCTAACGAGTCTATTTTTAAAACGTAGAGATTAGAGGTAATTGGATTTTTTTTTAATACTCCAGTAAATTATATGCAGCCAAAATGTCTACTTCAGTACAATAAGTAAAAAGTAAGTGAAAAGTATTTTTTCTTTGTTCTCTGACAGCTCTGTGCTTTATGTGGTTTATTTCACAGTAATCCAGTCATGTCTCTCTAACAACCACTAGGTGTCAGTAACGCTGCTTCATGTTGGTGACAGCAGATAAGAAAGAAACAGACGAAGAAGAAGGAGTTCAGACATTTTTTTTTCCCCTCCAAAGATGGCGTCGACGCAGATCACTGACGAGGAGCTTTTTTCACAGTTGAAGTTCTATGGATTCAGTCCCGGTCCGGTGACCGAAAACACGCGTCCGGTTTACCTGAAGAAGCTGAAGAAGTTTCTGGAGGAGCAGCAGCAGCAGCAGCGGGAGCAGCGGGGGAAAGGCCGCGGCGGCAGCACGGGGGCACCGAGGCCAGGGAGACATGACGTCAGGCGCCTGAGCTCCGGCAGGAGACCGGGCCTTAAGTCCTCCGTCCTCGGCTTCAGCTCCGACGAATCAGACGCCGAGACGCCGCTGAAAAGGACGGCTCTGGATTACACGAAACGAACCGGTCGGAACCAGAACCAGCCGCCGGCGGAGGCGAACAGGAAGGCTGCCCTGAAAGGCGATTCATTCCCGGCGCCAGACGGACAGCCGGCCGCCGCGCTGGGCCGGGGAACCGGGAACAGATCCCGGCCTGATGGCGAAGAGCTGAGCGACGAGGAGGAGCCGAACTCCCGCCCTGTTAACGGCCGCCGCTCCGCTCCTCTCAGCTCCAGCAAACTAGCCGGAGACTACTCCGATTCAGAGGAGGAGGAGGTCGGGGCCCCTGGAGGCCCGGAGCCAGACCGGAGGAGCTTAGAGCTGCGGCGGATCTCCACCGCGGGGCCCTTTGGCCCCCATGCAGACGGCAGAGGGTCCAGAGGGAAGAACTGTTCTCCGCCTGGGAGCAGATCTATGGCTGGGGGCAGAGAGGAGGACGGGGAGAGGATGAGGAGGGCAGACCTGGAGGCATCGGGGGGGTCTGGGCGCCACATGTTCCCCAGGAAGCCCCTCTACGTCCCCCTGGACCCCCAGAGCAGGCCCTGTGAGAACAACCAT